TGTTTTCGTGGAAATCGTTGATACAGTGTTAGTGACCATTTCATTAATTCTTTAACAAGGTATATACAGGATTCTTTTATATATAAAAAACAAAATATTCTCTACATGCTGCTTCATCAATATTTTAGTTCGCATTTCCAACAGATATATGAAACTTTCTGTTACTTCTTTTCTCGTGTCTATTAACGCTTTGAGTTATAGTATATACACTAATCATTAATAATATAAGAATATATATGCTTGATATTCTATTCGATCATAATAGGAGTGTTTTGAAGCATAGTTAATCCGTTTGAAAATGAAGATTCTATTTTGTAGTTTAGTTTTTTGGATGCACTACGGTATCTTATGTCTTTGAGAACAATACTCAACGCAAATTAAATAAAAGATATCGAGAACTAACGTGTTCTTCGTAGATGAATACGCGCAATAGAAGAATGTAACGAGTATTATCGGTGATCTTATCGTTGTGTTGAATGAATAACGCTCACTCTTACGGAACCTTTAAAAATAAAAAAAAACGGAAGAAGCCTAATTCTCGTAAAAAAGTTGATAAATTATAATTTTTAATCATAAAAACTTCAGCAGTTTTAGGAGTTTTTACAAAAAAGAAGCAAAATATTACAAAATAATATATAAAATCTATCAGATCGACTTTTACTGACAACCTCATAAGGTCATCATAAATATGATGATTACGACCCCCTAATTTTGAAAATAATCAATTGCCGTAAATGTCAGTCCGTTGTCAGTCGAAATTTTGTCTTCGAAACCGTGCCACACTAATATATCATTATGGTCTTTGCCAGTAGTTTTAGCCGGTATCAAATAAGTGTAATTTGAAAAAGCTTGAATCACATTTAATATTAAACAATGAAAGTATTTATAAAATGTTACGTAAAAGTGATGCTCTAGTAACGAAATCCACTACTGACGTGTAATTTTATAACCTGCCAGTGTGGCGTATTATCCATGCATACTTGATTTCTATAATATGACCGGACGTCTATTAAACTTTCAATAGTAGCTGTTCTTTTTTCTTTTCTAAGTATATGGTGGTCATTAATTTATAAACGTAAAATAGGTTTTGGATCAGTCTATGACCACCCTATTGGTGGTGTTCATTACGATTGTGGATGCGTCATAGATCATAACGGCTGTCTCAGGAATTCATCAAAATCAGGCTCTGACCTGCAAGTATACTACATTGTTTACTTTTCGACGTTTGGTGCGATGGTAGGTTGAACTTGTACACAACTGTTTCTTACTACTACATACCTTTTATTCATGTAGGCGTGGCATTTATTACTGTACGAAAACTCTGTTCAGAATCTGTACGGACCCATTTTATCAGAGGGTGCAATTAATGACTCTAGTGTTGATGTTCGTATGTGTGGCAATGATCCTCGAACAAAGGTCAGCCATTTTGTACGGGCTCGACTTTTGTCAACATTAAACTGGTTGTCTATTCGTTGTAATCAAAATCAAATCGATGCATGCATTCTATTGACTACTTCCTTTGAACGGATGGCTCAATTGACAATTAATCAGGAAAATACTTGGATTAAACCAAAGTATCAATCAGCCCCTGAAAAACGAGAAGCTGAGACTGAATACCAACAAAAAGTGTACTCTTTTGCTAGCGACAATTTACCTAAATACAAAAACTACATAAATAAAGTTCATTTACAATCTCAACTACAGATCGATCTACAAAACTTTGTGACTCGAATACCAATTGTTATTAAAATGTCACAGTTTCAAAATCGATGGTTCAGTCCAAAATATGCAGTATTACCCTTGAGTATCATAAAAACAGTCATTGATTCTATTGATTTTCTCAAAATAACTGCATACATTTATGATCTATGTCGGTTCTACTTCCTTCTACATCAGACATATGCTCAAATGATTGAAAAAGAAAATTTTGATAGTACCGACCTCAAAGAATTACAAAAAAAAGCAAAACAGTATTTAAAGACGTCCAACTCCAAAAGTTATAACAACGAGATGGCTGCTCATGAGAAAATAATCGAAAGGGGGATCGACGCTGTCAATGCTTATCACGACATCATGAATGGTAGTATTCAACCGGGCGCCTGTGATGAAAAGCAGCGTTTCGACAAGATCACCAAAGACTCGCCTATATCGTATTTGGTTACAGGAGAAAATTATGATGAAGGAAACATCGTTATGCGTATACTCAGGTTAGTTACTTTCTCCTGTGAACATGACACAGTGAATAGTCATATTTTGTATTTATCTTCTGGGTCTTTTTGTAATTTCTAGTTTGTAAGTAACTCAACAGGGAGTAATATCATAGTTTTTCTTCGGTTTCCAAAACGGCAGCAACTTTGCGTATTTAAAAATATTCAATCTGATAGAGTAGAGAATTCAAATTGCCAGAATCAATTTTTGACTCTGAAAACTATTATGTACAAACTTTTGTACAATGCTAAACTATCCCACGGTTACATGAATTTTTAAAATCGCATTCTATCTAAACAGACGCAATATATATTTCATACATGCTTGAGTTCCATATATTAATTGGAATTTATTTCATCTTAGTAGAAAATACAACTTTTAGAATTTTACTTTTTTCGGATTCTTCTGCAGAATACTCTAAATGACAGTTTACCAAATATTTTAGTTTAGACAAAATCGTAAACTAGCTCTCAATTTATAAAACAACTGCTGGGTAAATTTAATATTTCAAGACCTACTTGAGTAATAGTTCCATATCTTGAAAATAAAATCTTGAGATCTTGATGTGAATTGAATGGCTTGTAAAGTCTATGTCAGAGGCTTTTGCTCGTTTCAAAAGAAAAATACTCAAATATTTTAATAATTCTTAATCTTCTAAGAGTATAAATAGTTCTTGTACTCAATAAAACACTATGCAAACAATAGCTGAAAGTATGATCTTATAGGATTTACATAGCATATACACGGTCTGGCTGCTATGGTCTTAATGCTATCACACTTACACTTTTATTTGATTCTTTGAAATCATTTTTCTCCCAAGAGCTTATCCTTTTAGATAGAATTCAATTAAAAATCTTTCTTGATATTGTTCGGTAATTCAGAAAAATGAGAGAATCGGTCGATTAAGCAATTCATATTTCAGTCTCATAATTCGTAATTCTTTATCAGTTAAACACTCGTGAATATTGATCGGGTTTCTCTGGTAATCGCTGAGCAGGTATTCTGCAATACCATGAATTGGGATTTCATAGGATAAGAAAAGAACATAAATGATAAATTTAGCATTTGTTATGGCTGATATAATATGAATTTTTCTTCTCTTAATTTGATACTCTCATAAATTTCGATTGCATAAAACAAATTTGAAATTCAAAATAATGAATTATAAGAACAAAATATTGCTTACAGGTACTTATACGAATAGTTATTAAAACATTAGAGAAGGTCGAAATTATCAAAATCATCCTAAAATAAGTATACAGTGTGTCGGAGTGAGAGAGTATCATGAAACATTCAATCATTTGATAGATTCTGGCTGACCGCAGTAGGCATAACAAACTTGGACAGTCATCAAAGCTCAGGAGAAAATAAAATAAACTTTATTTAATCAAATTTCGAATTACTTTATGATCAATTTTCAATATTGTTTCTTTTAAACGGATAGTGATGGAAAATAATATCTAATATTCTCGATTGTGAGTGCGTTTAAGTTAAATAGTTCGGAGAAAATTAGGCATTTTAAATGATTTTCTGTCAAAAGCTATATGAGTTCAAATAAAATGCTTGCTAAATGTTCTAGCGAATTTAAAACTTCAAAGGATCCGGGTAAACTGAATGATATATTATAAACAATAGAATCATCATGATATTTTATTTTTCAATGTGGCAATGCAAATTGAGACAAATATATTTATCTCTTTTAAATAATTGAATATTTAGATAGCGAAGTAATACAGCAGCAGCAGTAGGAGGAGGAAGAACTAATTAAAATTTAAAAATGTTCTCATTGAAATTTGATGAAAATGTGTGATTATCCTAAAATAAAATAAAAACTTCTTTCTTATTATTGAATTCATTGATTCATTTACTTCTTTCCATTTTCAAGCATTCTCATCGATTATCACAACAAATTTTTGGATATGGTTGAGCAGGGGCTCAACTCTTCTGAAGATCAGGATATGAACATCATTAAATATTTGATTGGTACAATAGTACCAAAGGAAGTCTCCATAATACAAGTTGTACGTGAAGGCGCAGGTGTATTGAGTTTGAAAGACGACGACTATGCATGGATTGAAAAATATGCATTAGCAAATCTCATTTTGAAAGACCAAGATTTTCCAGTGCCCGATACCGAACTGAATTTTGACTATGTCAATGTTCAGTCGTACATAATACGAACTTATTTGCTTTTATGTCACATTAAATATCAGGATATCTCCCAAAAATATGCATGTTTTATACCAAGAAAAGTTATTAATGCTATTACAGCAACTGCTGACGGCATCATCGAATTGGATGAAAACTATTCGGTTCCACTCGAAGATGATTGGAGGAGCCATTTAAATGAGCTACCAATCGATCAGTTGTATCATGGCTACGCTATCTTAAGACAAATTGTTTCGATATTGAAAAATGAAAAAACAGATCAAGCGTCTAAACATCTGTATACTTATATTAAAACAATCAATGTAAAAGATTTAACTGCTGAGATATTGACTGAATATAATATACGAGATTTTCAACTTTGTCACATGAATCATGTCGGTAAATTATACAGAGATTTAGCTGGACGCTTTGAACACTTGTACACAGATACGTCTGCATTACTTCAAAGGCCAATGTCAAATCAACTAAGTAAAGAACTCGAAGACAGCTTTCAAGAAAAACTGATAAAGAAAAACTTGGCAGTCAAAGAGTTGGAGTCAAGTATAAGCCATATTGATGAACTTCTGAATGATTTGAAAGATATCGAAGACACACTTAGTGACAAAGGACATGAGCCATTAACTAAAACATGTCGCGACTATCTCATTAAAAATTCCCTTCTCGATATCATTGGTGACAAAGTCAAATGTGAAAATTACGTATATTTGACTGTTCATTTAATTCATGTTCGATCCAAATTGCAAGAAAAAACAATCAAACTTGAAGAAAAAAAAACAGAACAATGGACTGAAAGTTTCGATGAACAAACAGATCCAAGAAACCAACGAATGACAAGAAATCGTTTCCGACCTGTTCTAGAAGATAACGAGGAAAACGATAACCGTGGTAGACGTCGTCCTTCGAATCCCGAGTTGGATCTGAATCCTGAGCTGGGTCCGAATTCTGAGCCAGGTCCGAATTCTGAGCCGGGTACAAATCCTGAGCCGGGTCCCAATCTTGAACCGGGTCCGAATCCTGAGCCGGCACCACTCTTGTCACTTTTTAAATTAAATATCGAACCCACTTCAATAACATCATTGACGTTTGTATCTCGATACGAGGATCAATCAAAAAATACAACAGCCTCTTCAGACAAAGCTAAAAAGTTTGAAGTTACAGATCCAATGGCTGCTTCAAAATATAATATTACATGTAAAATCGAAGGATTCTATACCAAACTGAATGAGTATATTACAAAGAAGAAGTATGATCTGCAAACGTACGCTGTCGTTGATGACAAGAAAATATTCATCGACTTAACACAGATGAATGTTCGTCGACCCAATCCATTCCATGTAGCATATGAAATAGTCGAAAAGAGATTATTAATTCCTACTGTATTCCAATATGGAAGCCAACAACACAAATATTTTTCATTACCAGACTGTTCTATTCTGAATATTATCGATCGTTTTATAGATGACAATGAGTTAAAACAATTATCACCTGAAATTCGTTTGGTATTTTATGATGAACTCTGGAAATGCATCGAAAATGGGAAGGTTTCAGAACTGCCACACGCCATTAATCATGATTTGCCGTTCTCTATTTTTGTCAGAGAAGAAAATATTGAAAACAGTTTATTATATATGGTCAAGCTACAAACAAAAGGTAGAAGTTGCTCAACAGATCAGTATTTTGAAAAAGTATGTGATTATTTGAATTTAGATCAAGAAGAACAAAAATGTCTATTTCATCCAACAGCGAAATGGTATCAGGTCGATATTTGGCGTAAAACTCGTTTGCAACAAACTGATTCATCTTGTGCTTATATAAACAGAGAAAGCAAAGTTATATATGATAAAAATGAATCGATATCCATATTAGAGAAAAACGCAGTAACATTGGATGCAATTAGTGAAGATCAAACCCGAACTGTCACTTTATGTTTTGGATCGAATAAGAAAGTTATTCAAATACTTAGTTCGCTTCGAATGCGTGACCTATTGAGTATCGACATCCTTCGACAATTCAATTTAACTGTTTCGCCAAAAGATTGTGTTTTCACGCTTGGTGATATTGATGAACAAGAATTATCTGAAGAAGATATGAACAAGTTAGTCGAAGAATTTTCTCAACCAGTACAATGTCGAATATGGCTAAAAGCTTACATTCATCACAATGATATTCAACAAGATATTGTCATTAAAGTTAAAGACGATACCGTTACCGTGAATCAAATATTGCACATGCAAGAAATACCTAATGAAACTTACAAATATTTAGCCTCTCGTGATAGAAATGTAGTTATTGCTGATGACCAAAAATTTATTGATTTGAAAGAAACAAAATTCATTCTTCTCAAAGAAAGTGAAACATGTTGTGTTTCAATTAGTAAACTGAAGAAGGAGCAAGAAGGTGGTTATTCTAAACGATATTCAAAGTTTGCAGCTGTTGCTGATGTCTTGAAAAATAGTGACGTTGATGCTGATTGTTTTCTCCGCTTCGGCGACGATATTGTTCCTTCAGAAGAAACTAAACTGAGATTGTTTCCATCACCAATTGAGTTTCATATTATCACAGATAACTTTCCAGCACTCGTTACGGTTACCAATTTCGAGCAAGAAAATTGTTCGATTCAATTCAAATGCTTAAAATCAATGACTGTGAAAAGGGTGTTTGATATTTCATGTCAACTACTAAAGACTACTGCAAGTTACTATTATCTCGAGTATGAAGCAGGCGACGTAGATTATGATCTACCTCTGGAAGACCTCGAATCATCTTCAGATAACTTCCACTTCAAATTAGCCTCGACACTTGATATGACATGCTCTATGCGATACAAAAGCGACATATTTAAATTACCGTGTTCAAAAACAACAGCATTCAAAGATCTTGTCGAGGAAATGTTTCAAAAACTTCATATTCCCAAAGAAGATATCGATCAGTTTCAAGTAGAGCAGATATTAAGTGATAATGAGAGATCAGACATCGATATGGATTTAACTATTGACGATATTCTCGAGACTGATTCTGACAACAAAGAGACAGTGAATTTGCAATTCGAACTGAAGAAGAAAGACGAATAACTGCGCTATTTTTAATATTCTTTTTATTTTGAATGAATAAAGAAAACTATCCTGAATAAAGCTTTTTAATTCAAACGACGATTTCACAAAATAAACCCATATAAGTGTTTCTGTTACATCATAGAATTATTTCGAATAAGTTATGTGAAGAACAAACACACAAATTAGATGCCGAAATCGGACGGATTCGAGAAAGAAAAGAGAACTTAAGGTCTAAGTAGACGGAAACAAATGATGAGATATCATTCCTGTTCTCCAGTTTCACAGCTGGAATTCATTGATGCACATCACATTTACTAAAATGCTTCATATTAAACTATTATGTTCCAATGAGAGATCGAAAACAGTTAGAGAAACAAAAGAAAATGCTGGAGCAAGGATAGAAAATATAACTATTAGTAGTAGATTTTTTTCTGCGTTAATTTTATATTCAATAGTAAACTATGAAAAGCTTCTATTTCGAACTAATAGTTTTTTTTTCTAAGATTAATCACTGAGATCAAAATAAGATTATTAGCAAATCTGTTTACTCTTAGAAAAATCTAACGAAGAAATTAAACTAATTAGAAGAATACTCATAAAATACTGAACAACTCTCTAGGTATTCTAAAAACTCAACATAAAAACAAGTAATTTATAGAAGATAGTTATTATTTGAAAGAGTCTACATATGAAGATGAATGATTCTTTAAATATCAAAACAAAAACTTTAACAATAGTTGAGTTTTGCATTAAATTAAAATAGAAAATTGAATAAAATTACTTTCTGTTGATACGATCGCTAATATATCAAATTCTATTCGTAAATGTTACACTCATAAACATCAAAAAAACTGAACAACATTATTTGTCTAAATCACTTGAAAAAAAATGACTCACTTTATTGACTTTTAGTACTTCGGCGATATACTCGGACTCCACGTTCAAGTATATGAAAAAACATTTAGCAATTAAAGGGCATTTGATTTTCAAAACTATCGAACAAATAAAGAGATTTAACCTGTACAATGACGTTGTATTAGTCATTGAATAGGTGTTAAGTTCAATTGTTAGGAAATGCTGCAAATTCGAACTCATTGTAGAAACATAAGTCTAAATGTTTTATGAAAGTCTGAATGATTGGATTAAAATCTATTCAAATATTGGTGGTTATTTGTTAAGGTCAGCGGTTAATCATGAAAATAAAGTCAATGTTAAACATGACGAATCCGAAAAACAGAATATTTTTATTAAAATAAATATAAATACAAAATCAAATTTGAATAAGAAGTTCTGAATTTCGAAAGATTTTTATTTTTTCGATTTAATATTGAAGACTTTAGTCGATTCTCAGATGCTTGAAGATTTTGAAAAAGCTCAACGAAAGAGAAATGTGATCTATTATTAATGCTGGGTATTTCCCGGATTTGTATGTATGTGTTGGTCAAAATACACAATATAACGTGAAGATGCACCGATTCTTGTGCTTTCAAAAATGAAAACGGTTATGATATGGTGTTCATTGTGTACGAAACTCTTTCAAATTTCATCAAATATATTTTTATGGAGTAGACGAATTGTTAGGTGTTTCTGTCTATCACGATTTCTTACGACAAAACGTCACAACACATTTTCTCTTTCGTGTTTTGTTTTTGTTCACAGAGAACTTTTATTGTTATAAATACTTTCAAAACCGATCCTCGATATAGAGAATATACTTTTCATTTTAAGCCAAGTAGAACTCGAAAATGATATATTTCTTCTCATAGGACGAACGATATAGACCGAAGGATCATAGAAGTGAATCGCCGATTATAGGTAGATCCTTTTAAAAGCTTTATCCACAAATATTTCACCATGATTTTTTATATTATTTAGATTTGAGATCAATGTTTGTCTTTTAATTAGATTCTATTACAAGCAACTACAAATATGGGTAATAAAGGTTTAAAAAAACGTAGTTTCAAATGAACTTATACCTAAGCATTTGTTCATTATTCAATTTCTTAACGTTGTTGTAATAAATAGTGTTTTGTTTTAGAAATCAATCTTCTCAAAGCGAATACTTCATTTACTGATGCAGATAACAAAAAACAAGTGTACTACTGAAATAATGTCTGTTAACAAGATGTGTTTTATTTTAGAAATTCGTCAGTGGCATGCTGTAATTGATTTCGTGAACATTTTCATTCATATGCTAATTTTCTTTCCTAGGATTTTCTTCGTGATTGTCCATCAGGTAAACTAAATAAACATCACTTTGTTGAGATGTACAAAAAATTTTATCACCATGGCAAAGGAGATGTTTTCTGCGCGTAGGTCACTTTATTGATTTCTTTGCATTGTATATTGTCTTTGAATTGTCTTTTCAGACGTGCATTTAAGGTATTCGATTCGAATCATGATGGATCTATTGATTTTAGCGAAGTTCTAATTGCTGTTGCTGCCGCATGTCAAGGTGATTTAGATGATCGACTCGAAGTGAACTGACTAGTATGATTTCGGCGATGGTTAGTATCGAAATATTCTGTTATTTAGCATCTATCCTTGGTTAAATATACTATGTACTGGCTAAATTTAGTATGAGTTACTTGGTGAGCTGAAAACTGAACAAAACCGAGTTCAGTAATGATTGAGTATAACACTGCGACGAAGATCATATTTCAATTATCATTGAAAATTATTTTATTTCGAGCTTTCGACAATTTTCAATTGTCATCGTCAGGAAATAGTAACAAAAAAACCAAATAAGACTATATATATATCAATACAAAAAACAAAAAAAAAAAAAATTTTTTTATATTACACATGTTACAGTTTAGATTGAAAGATGACAGATAACACAATTAAGACTTGAAACAACTTAAATTAATTCGAATTAATTTAATAAAGTTCGAAGAACTTATTCTGGTCCATAAAATTAGTCCTTTATGGACTAGTTATAATGTTTTAATGCTATATAATTGTAATTTTGGATGTTACTGGTTATAAATAGAGAAGAAAATGAATTAAACATTGCAGTAATTGTTAATGTTGTGTGTTAATGTATTATTGTAATGATTAAGATTAATGAAACACTTTTAATTTGAATTTTACATCGTTGATAGCTTGTCCATGAGTTTCTTCTGTGAAAAGACTTTCTTTTACTGTACGTCGTTTCCAGTTGGTTTCTAATGCTAATGTTTCGGATTCGTCAAATTTGAAAGAATGCTATTGA